AGGCGATCATTTAAAGCTGAACTCCGGGATAGTTCTCCACGCGGCCCCTACGGAAATCACCAAGGATATATATCTGTATTAGGCTTCCTCCTCTTCGGCTATTGCTCCCTTTCATACTCCGGGACGTCAATACTGGAAACCAGGAGGAGGAGCTAGGCCCGGGCACCCTGATGAGGTATCAAGGAAGCACCTTAAAGGAGAACTATGAGGGGGGTGATTGTCACTCACCTCATAGTTCTAGCCGACCTGTGACAATGAGACTGTCACAGGTTGGCTCAGTAGATCGGGAGGTGAGAGAACACATACCGGCGCTCGCTCACTTCTCGATCATGTCCCTGCAGAGAGCCGTGACTGTCACTCATGGTTCCCTGCAGGGAATCCCCCCTCCCCTCTAGCGCTAATTGGCGGAGGGGGCGGGTACAGCTGTCTCTGCCTCTAGATTGGCAGAGCCATCTGTCACTCAAGCAGCTGGGCGGATCCAGACAGCAATGTCGGGATCCGTTCTGGCTGCGGCGTCTCAGTATACAGCGAGCTGTAGCTCCCTATATACTGAGCCTAGGGTGACGGGAGGACGCTAGTTTGTGTCCTCCCCCGACCCTGAGGAGAACTATGGGGGAAAGCCCTGACCCCAGAGTTCTCCTTTAACAAACTACAATCATCATGCAATGGGAGTTGTAGCCAATTGTGTGCGGGTTTTTATGGCCAATCCCAACCGGCCCAGTCACTGCCTTCTGTATATGACTACATGGTAGATAGAAGTCACCCCTGGCCTGTGGATCATGGTGACGTGTCATGGTGGGCAGGATGGACCAGCAGTCTTCTGGACTGTCGATGGGGTAGGCAGGACTGGGAGTCGGAGTTCCCCCTGGCCTGTGGATCATGGTGATGTGTCATGGTGGGCAGGATGGACCAGGAGTCTTCTGGACTGTCGATGGGGCAGGCAGGACTGGGAGTCGGAGTTCCCCCTGGCCTGTGGATCATGGTGACGTGTCATGGTGGGCAGGATGGACCAGCAGTCTTCTGGACTGTCGATGGGGTAGGCAGGACTGGGAGTCGGAGTTCCCCCTGGCCTGTGGATCATGGTGATGTGTCATGGTGGGCAGGATGGACCAGGAGTCTTCTGGACTGTCGATGGGGCAGGCAGGACTGGGAGTCGGAGTTCCCCCTGGCCTGTGGATCATGGTGACGTGTCATGGTGGGCAGGATGGACCAGCAGTCTTCTGGACTGTCGATGGGGTAGGCAGGACTGGGAGTCGGAGTTCCCCCTGGCCTGTGGATCATGGTGATGTGTCATGGTGGGCAGGATGGACCAGGAGTCTTCTGGACTGTCGATGGGGCAGGCAGGACTGGGAGTCGGGTCCTCCTACTACAGCCAACAGTCAGCTAATGACGTGACCGGTAAACTAATAAACCCCAACAGGGGTAGTTACAGGATAATGTAATAAAGAAACGTCACCAGCACGCCGGACTCCTTCGAGGATAGTCAATCGTGCCAAGCCTGATGAAGGGACCCTCGTGTGGTCCCGCTTGTGTATTGGACATAAGTTCTGAATAAATCCACGATGGACTATCCTTGAAGGAGTCTGGGGTGCTGGCGGCGCCATCCGCGGTCATTCCGATCACCCTTCCCCATATTCGGGGCGGTCCGGTAAGGAGTGCCACAAACCTTTCTCTTCATAGCCTGATCATGGCCGGGGTGGGGGGGAGGAGCGGGTACATAGTCAGGAAGGGAACACCGCGCCCTTACTCGGTTTCTTGGATCACTTTGACAATATCTGCAACGAGCATATCCTAAATCTGTTCTGCCCAAATCGGGTTTTTTTTTCACAGCAAACTGAACGATTCCTCTCACTGCCTGTGAAGGTTTCTCATTCCTCCGGGTCACATGGCCTATCTGTAAAATAAATAAATAATTCTAGCCAACCGGACTCGCTGTATTTTTCTTGAAGACGATTCGCCGTATGCAGTCCGGTGCGGCGAGGGGCGCCCATAATTGTATGTCGGTGAAACAAAACAGCAGCTACAACGGCGTATGGCACGGCATAGAAGAGCCGAACCCTCTGGTCAGGATTCACCAGTGTACCCACATCTACAGGAGAGAGGTCACTCCTCTGAAGACAGTCATGTACGCATCCTAGACAGGGAGGGGGAGGAGTTTATAAGAGGTGTAAAAGAGGCCAGTTATGTAACAAGGGAGAAGCCAAGCTTGAATAGAGGTGGGGGAGGGGAGTGGGGTGAGACATCTATTGTCTGCCACATACAATGCTGTATAACACCTCTCTCTGGGCAGGTTAGTAACACCTCCTAGACTCCGATTCTGCAAATGCAATCAGCACCTGGTTCTGACCAACAGATTATGTGGATCAGAGGAACATTCACCATATTTATTCCCAGAGAATTCTTTGTACAAGTCATTGTGAATGGAGAAAGCTGGTCGGGTGACCAGTGAAACGTCTTCAAGGAAAATACAGCCAGTCCAGTCGCCTTGACTTATTTTTTTTACAGACAATTCATCTCACTGCCTCGGAGTCCCTCCTGGAGATCTAATTCTAAAGGCATCACCATATTAGATAATGTGTATCTCTGCGTATTCAGTACATCCCTACAACGCATTCACATGTCATCATGCGTTGTGCCTTCAACACTTCCAAGTACAACGAGAACGTATCTGATGACCTGCCAGAAGTCCAGTGAGCTCCAGACTTCCTGTCTGGGCCTACAACTCTGCCTCCGCTGTGCTACAAATTCAAGCAAGTGTTGTCAGCCTGCCCTGCTAGACTACAGAACTGTCAGGGAACACAGCGTCGTCTCCTCCGCTAGACTACAGAACTGTCAGGGAACACAGCGTTGTCTCCTCTGCTAGACTACAGAACTGTCAGGGAACACAGCGTCGTCTTCTCCGCTAGACTACAGAACTGTCAGGGAACACAGCGTCGTCTCCTCCGCTAGACTACAGAACTTCCCCCCCCCCATGTGCTATATGGTGACTCTCTTTTAAGGGCAATATAGACCAATAAGAGTGATTGCATAGACCTGTCCTTATTTCATTGTATTCTGTGCAATGATAACAGGTTTCTAGTCCTTTATTATGGAGACAAGGAGAGAGGGGCGGGGTTCTGCAGTCCAGCAGGGGAGACCTCAGGCAGGGCCGACAACACTTCTTAGCTTTGCAGCGGGATTCAATGGGGATCATTTTGTACTAAAGGAAACGGGGAAATGTGAACGTCCTGCAGAGATCTACTGAATACATTGTTTCTATTCTGCCCGGACACAAAGCGCATCCCGGCACGTGTAACGCGTATCAGCTGCCAAATCCAACACAGCGTCTGAGGCTTTCATTTTCATTGAAGAAAACAATCTTTGGGGTTTTTTTTTGGGACTGTAAACTGACTCTTTAAGGCCTCATTCACACGGGAATTGTCCGGCGCGTACAGCTCCGTGCTGCGTGCACGGCGGTATCGGGCAGCTACCGGGAAGGACAGGTGCTGTGTGCACGGCGGTATCGGGCCGCTCCCGGGAAGGACAGGTGCTGCGCGCACGGCCGTATCGGGCAGCTCCCGGAAAGCACAGGTGCTGCGTGCACGGCCGTATCGGGCCGCTCCCGGGAAGGACAGGTGCTGCGCGCACGGCCGTATCGGGCAGCTCCCGGAAAGCACAGGTGCTGCGTGCACGGCCGTATCGGGCCGCTCCCGGGAAGGACAGGTGCTGCGCGCACGGCCGTATCGGGCAGCTCCCGGAAAGCACAGGTGCTGCGTGCACGGCCGTATCGGGCCGCTCCCGGGAAGGACAGGTGCTGCGCGCACGGCCGTATCGGGCAGCTCCCGGAAAGCACAGGTGCTGCGTGCACGGCCGTATCGGGCCGCTCCCGGGAAGGACAGGTGCTGCGCGCACGGCCGTATCGGGCAGCTCCCGGAAAGCACAGGTGCTGCGTGCACGGCCGTATCGGGCCGCTCCCGGGAAGGACAGGTGCTGCGCGCACGGCCGTATCGGGCAGCTCCCGGGAAGGACAGGGGCCGCGTGTGATTAGTACGCAGCCCCCGTCCTTCTCTATGGGACTACGCGGCCGTACGCCCTGCACGTCCGTAGAGGTGCAGGTGAGCATGGATCCTGTCTGCGTCCGAGCCGGGACACCCGTATGGACACTTTAGGTGAGCGTAGGGCGGCGTACGGCCGCATACTCCCATAGAGAAGGACGGGGGCTGCGTACTAATCACACGCGGCACCTGTCCTTCCCGGGAGCTACCCGATACGGCCGTGCACGCAGCACCTGTGCTTTCCGGGAGCTGCCCGATACGGCCGTGCGCGCAGCACCTGTCCTTCCCGGGAGCGGCCCGATACGGCCGTGCGTGCAGCACCTGTCCTTCCCGGGAGCGGCCCGATACGGCCGTGCACGCAGCACCTGTCCTTCCCGGTAGCGGCTTGATACGGCCTTGCACGGAGCTGTACGCGCGGTATGAATGAGGCCTTAATGTAAACCTGACATGGGGGGAGGGGGGAACAAGAAGACGAAAACTTCTACTGGTCCTGTAATGCTGCTTCTGAGTAGTGATGGGCACGGGGCGTGTTCGCAGCTCCACGTTGCTGAGCCCGCCAGGAAGCTGACAGCGCCAATCACGGGCGCTGAAGCCTTGTTCACACCAAATGCAGAGCAGATCTGCATGAGTTTCTGCACACGCGGTGCAGTGGGTTGTGCCGCGTGTTTGATGCGTTCCGGGCCGTTTTTGGTTGGAAAAAAAAATACATAAAAAAAAGGGTTTTCAGTGCGTTCCAGGGCGTTTGCATGCGCTTTTGATGCGTTTGCCTGCGTTCCAGAGCAGGTGAAATAGGGCTTGCTGCATTTTTTTTTTTACCTGCTCTGGAACAGAACGCCGCGATGTGAACTGGAGCTAAAAATACCATTGGAATACATTGGACGCAGTTTTGCTCCGGTCTGCTCCTGGAACGCGCTCGGTGTGAACAATGGCCTTCCCGATCTCTGCAGCTGCGGACCGGGAACATACCCCTGCGGGAGTGGTTGGTGTCCGCCATCCTTTCCAAGGTCTGGTTTAAAACCTCCACGTTGTCCGCCAATCGCCTGCTCTGCTCCACCAGGTTTTCCAAGATGAGGTTCTGCTGCACCATGAGAGAAGTCTGCTGCTGGTACCAAGAAGACAAAAGGGTGTTCTGCTGGATCTGGCTCTCCATGAGCTGCTTCTCGAACTCGGAGACCTCGTGCTGCTTGCGGCGCGGGTGCGAAGCCGTCTGAGAGAGCCGCCTCATGTAGGTGGACTTGGCCCGGTTCCGAGGGGAGGAAGGAGGCGACGGGGAAGACGCGGAGGTCTGAATAATCACCGGGTGGTCAGACAGGTCTGGCTCGGTAGTGACCATTTCTATAGTTTTAAGAGGCACCCACGTGCAACCTGGGCCATTTTCCTCTTCATCTGCGGGGGAATTAGAAAAAAAAAAATACAAAAAAATAAAAAAATAATAAAATTACTTCAAAAAGAAAGAAAAAACAAAAAAAAAACCCTCAAAGTTACAAAAAAAGGACTAAAGCAGTGGCCACAAATAGTAAAACACTCATCTGTCCAGATTAATCTCACGGACGTTGCTTTGGTATGTTAAGCAATCAATTGATAGCTTGGACCTGGGAATCAGAACTCGTTCCGGAACCGGCTACGCTCGAGACTACAACCGGACCCATTTTGAGACTACACTGCACACCATGCAACAGCGGCTACAATATAAAAACTGGACCATTGCTACTGCTTCCAAGTCACATGACCGCCACCCCTTTCCGTCCGTATTACCTGACTGCAGCTCCAGAGCTATGTGAGTCGCGTCGAGATCCACGTCAACGTCATCGTGGTCGTCGTCATCGTCGTCACCGTAGCCGGGGTAAACGTCGCTGTTCGTGTCGTTGTGCATCCCCGGCGGGCTCCTGACGCCTCCGGATACAACGGATCTCTTTATAATGGCCAGCTTCTCTTTAGTCCGCCTTTTCATGTCGTCCCATCTCCTCCTCAGGTCTCTGGTGGTCCTCGGGGACCTGGCCACCGCGTTGATCTTCTTGGCGATCTCCAACCAGATCCTCTCTCTGGCCGGCTGGCTGAGGTTGACCCTCTCGCTCCCGTAGAGTTTCGAGTGGTTCTTGGTTACTTCGGCCACCAAAATTTCCAGTTCCAAAGGAGAAAACTTCTCCTTTCTCTTGCGGGGTGCACAGGCCATCCTAAGGTTGCGCCTCTTGTGAAATGAAACAAGAAGGGGCATTTTTTTGGTACCAGATTCCACACAAAAAAAAAAAGCCAAAAAACACAAAAAACAAAACTTCTATTGCAGTTTCAAAACTCATGCAGCGGGTCTTAGAGGGGAAACTCCAAAAGTCCCCGTCAGCTTCTGGCTATGCTTGGTGTGTGGGCTGCGAGCAGGCCAAGGGCCCTCTCTGCTTGTAGGGATCATGGAAGGAGCGGCACGTCTGCAGTATCCCCCCAGGTGCTTTGCAGGTGTATAAAGTCCACTCGCATCTCACACACTGCTGAACTACACGGGAGATTGGTCAATTGCTATAGTAGATTTGAGGTGAACCCATTGGCTGTCCTCTCGCTTCCAACACTCATCGATTTCAATAGGCTACAAATGAAACAGTGGGCGGAGGAGGGACCAAACAATAGATGG